TGGCACTTGATCTCAGACTTCAGAACTGGAAGAAAAGAAATCGCTTGCTGTTGAGGTTGCCCCGTCAGCGGTATTTACGTCTCAGTGTCTCTAGGTGTCTAGTCCCGTGAGAGGACATTGTTGTCATCCCCGTGGGCTCCTCACGTGCCCTTTTGACTTGGCGTGTAGCACTTCCCTTGCTTTCAATGTTTGCCTTGCTTCTTTCTCTACGTTCAGCAGAGAGGTCTGGACGGCGCTGCTCAGAGCAGCCTGGAGACTGGATTGCAGGGAGCCTGGGAATCTTCACAAGGACCTATTTCAGTGGGAACATCTAGAAATATGTCCCCAAGCCAAGGCCACTAGGCAGAGACTCTCTCTCCCATCTTGGGGGAAGAGGTGAAGGGGCCTTCCTCAGCCCTGTGCACACATGGAATTACTGTGCTATAGCTGTCCACACAGGACTTCTGTCTGGTACACTACTTAGCATTGCCGGCCATCTTCCCCAGCTCTGCAGAGGGAGGACGGCCAGGGGCTGAGAGAAGCACAATCTACCTTAGGACACATTGAACCAAGACGGCAAAGAGGGCTTGCATCTCCGCTCATCTGCATGTGTCTGCAGTGTTTACATTCCGAATAACAGTTTTTCCGACACACAGACACTCTCGAGGAGGAAGCTGAGAAACTGATTGACAGTTCCTCTGTGTCCGACAGCTTCTTGGATCCAGTCCAGCAAACGAAGCATTTAAAGAAGCTGCCTTGGCACTTCGGCGACAGGCCAGCAGGGCAAGCTGTGAAGTCACACCACGGTGGGAGCTCCTTCTTCCTGCCCCGTTGAGGCAGCCTTGGGGCTGCCATGGCCCCGCTGGAGGAAACCTTCCCACCAGCACTCGACTGAGGAAGCTTGATATACCTGTGGACTAGACAGGGCATTGCTGCTGGCCTGTTGGGACCTGCAGAGACACTCTTGCTCTCTGGGCTCTTACAGTACAGATGGAGCAATATAAGGTCAGTGTCGTATGACAACCAATGATTGCAACAGACACCATCAAGGAGAGAGATTCTAGAAGCATGTGGTCATTAGCAGCCAATGTGCCCTGTCAGTGAGGGCCTTCTCATGGGGGGCGCTCCGCCTTCCGTGGGACCCGCTACAACTCAAAAATCCTGCTGTTCCTTTCATTTTCTTCTGGGATTTCTGGTGGTCTTCATGGGTAGGTCCTTCCTACTAGTCCTGGGCCCTCAGGGCAGAGAACTGTGCCCACGGAGGATGTCCAGGTACCATTGCTAAACTTTACTCTTCAGTTAAGGAGTATTCCAGCAAGCAGGCCCTAGGGAGGGAGAACCAGAGGGGATTATAATCTTAGTGCCAGGAGTAGGACGCCTCCCTAGAAGTTGTTGTCCAGAGAGGCCCCAGAGCCTCCCCCAAAAGTGTAGGTTTGTCGCCGTTGCTCTTGGTTGCCTACCAGGACTAGATGGTAAGACCTTATTGCTTATGACACAACACACTTTGGCTTTACAATACAGAGGAATCGAGCTTAAGCTGACCTGAAGACTTCCTTCCTGCTGGCTAGCTATCATTGAGCTGCAAGGTGTTGTGAAGGTTGCAGGGGGTGAGGGTTGGGGGAGGAAAGACATTGACGTTACACCTATGGACAACCCCTAATCCTATTCTATCAGCCTGCCAGGAGAGATGTGCCCACTGGTACAATAGCGGCACAAAGGTTATGGGGGTAAACAACAGCTTTTGAGCCATCAGTATTTGAAGCCTGTTCCACAGGACGGAATTCATACCTGGTACCATAAACTTTGTCGAGAGACCATGACTGGAGAGACCATAGGCCTTAGGGGGAGCCTACTCTTGTTTTGCTGTTGTTGCGTTGTCTAACAGCATTCTGAGTATTGGTGTTTGTATTTACAAATCAGGGCTGCCCTCAGTCTTGGCCAGGGAAACCTCTCTCTGCCTCTCTGCAGTGGTCACCAGTAAAGGCAGAGACTTGTAACTCTTCAGAGTGCTAAGAATAAATTACTGTTGATTGCTCGTCCTTAAATGGGACATTAATACACATACACACACACACATTGCAAGGCTCAGGGAATGTCATGGGCGAGGAAGCAGAGCCAGAGGATAGGGAACAGTGCTGTGAAATGCCGTCTTCTGGGCACAGCATGACCAATCTCAGCCACAGACTCACTGTAGCTATGATTACTTGCACAAGACCTGTCTAAGATCAAGCCAGCAAGAACAGTCAGCATTTCAACCAGCAGGCAGCACCATACGGACTCGGTGGTTCCTGGGAGCTGGTGGCTGGAGTGTGTATGATCAAGTTGCATTGTTTACATGTTTGAAATTGTCAAAGAATAGCTAAAAATATTTATAAAATATGACTGACCACGTGGTCAGAGGGGCAAGACTGACTTCCTGAATGACTGCCTTCGCCTCTGCTTCCCTGTCAAGCGTGCTGGTGGGAGGTGGCACGCCAGTGTTGCTGTTTCCCCAGCTGTGCCCACTGCCGACTCAGCCCTCAAGCTCTCTGAATAGAATTCAGCTGGGGATTCAGCTCCTCCCCCTGCTCCTTGTGGCCAAGAGCCGCAGCGCTGGAATCCCACTTTAGGCAAGACTTGAAATTTAGATGTAGTATTCTGGATCTGATTTTCCACCACCCGTTGCCAGGCGCTGGAAACTTTGGTTGGTCAGTGCTGGGAGTCAGGTCTCTAGAAGGGAGCTCAAGACACCCCCAGTGGACATCTCTATATCAAGCCAGGGATCTCAGAGGTCTTATCGGTCAGGTTAAACTGGACCGTGATGTAAAAGAAACTTCGCACCTCCCAGTCGCTTAAACGACACAGGCTTGTTCCTTGATGTTATCTCTCCATTGCAAGGCAGGGGTGGAAATGAGGGGTTCTGTGGTTGCTGCAGAAGTGTAACTGGTAGAGGAGGGCTTCAACCTGCCAAGTCCTTCTGGTTGAAACCACAGGCTCTGCCTGGAGGTGAGCCTTACATGCCGCTAATCAGAGCATCAGAGCGAGGCTGGCCCTACCTCCCAGGCAGCAGGTTGTCACCAAACAAGGAGGGCTCAACAGAAGTATGTTTTGAATAGCCTGACATAGTGGCAGAGCACAGGGAAACTTCTGGCTAGGAGTGGCCAGGAGCTGGGTGGTTCTTCCTTCTCCAGGTCTGAGTTCTTTCCAGCATACATTGGCAGGCCTTAGAATGAAGACTCCAGGAGTTTTTGTTACCCCGTGAGCTTTCTCTGTTTTTAACTTTCTTAGCCAACTGTGAAATTCGATTTAGTACTGAGCCCAGGCTTGGTAATTCCACATTCACCCGAGTGTTAGCAGGGTAACAGTAGCCTCGGGGCTGCCTGGCAAGATGGTTCAGAGAGTAAGGGAATTTGCCACCAAGCCTGAAGGCCTGTCTTTGATCCCTGGGCCCCTCATGGTGGAAAAAGAGACCTGACCACCACACACGTGCTCTGGCCACACACACACACACACACACACACACACACACACACCATTCATAACTAAAAAAAAATCAGAATCTGCCAGGCGGTGATGGCACACGCCTTTAATCCCAGCACTTGGTAGACAGAGGCAGGAAGATCTCTGTGAGTTTGAGGTCAGCTTGATCTACAAAGTGAGTTCCAGGACAGCAAGGACTGTTACACAGAGAAACCCTGTCTTGAAAAAAAATCAGAATTCAAATACGAGGTTTTTTTTTTTTCTGTTGTTTTGTTTTTTTTAATTGTTAGAACTAAGAGAAAACAAAGTAAAGGAAGGGAACAGAATTTAAAAGAAACAAACAGAAACCAGAGTGGCCCTCCTTTGGCAGGAGTGTTGGGTAAGTAAGGGCAGAGGGATGGATGGGTTAGAAATGAGGGTGCTATAGCTGTCAGGAATAGGGGACAGGAGGAAAGAGGGGCTCTATTCCAAGGCCGCTAAGCCCTCGTCAGTAAAGCCCAGAGTTTTGTTGTGATGGGTTATGGCTAGCAGGAGTGTGTGTGTGTGTGTGTGTGTGTGTGTGTGTGTGTGTGTGATGTTCCAGGTCCCAGGTACCTGCCTTCTTTTGGCTGGACTAGCCGGGGGCTTATCTTGTAAACACATCTCCTCCCTCCCCCCAGCTATCCCAATAGAGGTGTCTCTCGGTCACATTCTTTAGGAAGAAACTAATGGAGACCTTGTGAGGGTTCACATTTATTTCTCAGGGTATCAACAGGACGAGTAGAGATCACAAGAGCTGGAGGCAGGCGCTTGCCCTGGGTCAGCTGAAACTTTGAGAAGTTATCCAAGGCTACCCTGGGCCTTGCAGAAGGCCATATGTAGCCATGACAACTCAGATCCCTGCAGCCAGCCCAGGCTTCCAGGCCTTCCGGGCCAGGGTTCTCTTACGCAAGAATCAGAATCTGTTAAAAAGCCTTGTGGAATCAGGTCGTCCCATCCCTGCTGGTGCAGCTTCAGAGGGCCCCTCACAATCACAGACACTTTTTGGGATCTCATTACTAATCCATCAGGTCCGGGGAACTCCAGTTTTAATACATTTAAGAGGGAGGGGCATTTCCTACCAGAAACATCCAGAATGTTCTCATGCTTGTTCATCTCCCCTCTCTGAGTCTTTGGGGAGTGGCCCCCTTTGATCAAACATCTACCCATGTTTGCTTTATGTCGACATCAATATTCAAAGTCCAGGATGACCTCTGGAAGACAGGGGTTCTCAGTCACATTTTGTCATTGAGGGCTCTTGACTGCCTCCCTGGAATCTTCTAGAATGGGGCTGGCTACCTAGGTAGGCCTACTGAGGAAAACCAAGGAACTGATACAGTTTGTCAAGTGGATGGTCTCAGGCTTGGGAATATTTAGAGGTAGGCAATAATTCCCCTCCTCCCCCGCTCCCCCCCAGCCAGTGCTTTTAGCTCATAGGGGATCAGGCTCAATCCTATTGGTTGCTAAGGCACAGCCTTTGCATCAGAAAATTCAGCAGTGCCGAATTCTCACCCCCGAGGAAGGCAATGAGGGGAAAGGACCCTTCAAAAATGAGGCAAGGCCTGTAGAAAAGGCCCCCAGGGGTGAGTAACCCTGGGTACCAGGCCAAGCTGCTGCAGCTGCAACCGCGTGGGTCTATAGGCCATGAAGGTGCTGTAGGGAACAGGTGCTCCTTCATGGGGCCTCATGGGGACCAAGAAGGCCTGTGGGGCCACGACTCTCCGGGGACTGTGATAGGGTTGAAGCCTTGGAGCCACAGGTGGGATGGGGGCCAGGGGGTTGGCTGGCCCTGAGGATACGGACAGACTCTGGTTGAGGGGATTGCTGCCGGCCGACAGGCTACTACTGAAGGGGTTGGAAGAGGTGCGGTCACTGGCAGAGCCGCTGCTTCCACTGAGGCGACCATTGGTGGCTCCCGGACCCTTGCTGGGCTGGAGCGGGGCCACTAGCCTTGGGGACTTCAGGCCCATCACAGGCTTGGAGGAGGCGTAGAGGCGTCGGAACTCTTCATCAAACAGCTCCACAGCCTGGCCGGTGAACTTGGAGAGGATGTTCCTGTGCACGTGTCCACAGAGCCAAGAGAAACTGGAGGGGGAGGAGACAGAACCAGGGCATCAGTGTTGGATTTGCGCGAACCGCTCACCGCGGCCACTGCTCAAGCAGGCACATTTCAACCGAGTAGAAGCCCTGAAAATTGATTATGTAAACCCTGCATAGTTTTGTCTCCCCTTTTTTTTGCAAATGGCAGCACTGAGACCCAGAGACCAGGACATGCTTGCAAATGAGTCACTGAGGTGTCAGAGTCAGTCTTTGGCTTCGAAGTTCCTAATGCCCCCAATACATCTACCCAATGAGCTATCCCATCTACACACACACACACACACACACACACACACACACACACACACACCACTACCCCTCAAGGGTTAGAAAATGGCTGAATGAGAAATGCAAATTAAAATAACTCTGAGATTCCATCTTACACCTGTAAGAATGGCCAAGATCAAAAACACTGATGACAACTTATGCTGGAGAGGTTGTGGGGTAAAGGCAATACTCCTGCATTGCTGGTGGGAATGCAAGCTGGTGCAGCCCCTTTGAATAACAACATCTTGAAATTTGCAGGCAAATGGATGGAGCTAGAAAACATCATTATTGAGTGAGGTAACTCAGACCCAGAAAGACAAGTATCATATGTACTCACTCATAAGTGGTTTTTAAATATAAAGCAAAGAAAACTAGCCTACAAATCACAATCCCAGAGAACCTAGACAACAATGAAGACCCTAAGAGAGACATAAATGAATCTAATCTACATGGGAAGTAGAAAAAGACAAGATCTCCTGAGTAAATTGGGAGCATAGGGACCATGGGAGAGGGTTGAAGGGGAGGGGAGAAGAAGGGAAGGGGAGCAGATAAAAATGTAGAGCTCAATAAAATTAATTTAAAAAAAAAGGAAAAAAAGAAAATGGCTGAGCGTGATCTGAGTCCTCTCTACCTCCATTCTGCTCGGAGGGGTCACCTGGTAGAGCCAGTATTGGGGGCCTTCAGTGTTCCCACCTGTAAGATGGGGCACCTGCCTCCTGCAAACAGACATCAGCTAGGAAAATAGCTCCCCAAACAGGCAAAAGGGGGCACTGAGAATCTAACGGCCCCTCAGGCCCAGAGAGGTGGCAGTGGCCTTTTATCTCAGCATGTTCAGGAAGTTGAGGAAGGAGGATGCCCTTCCAGACTAGCTGGGCTACACAAGACTCCGCCAAACAAAAACAAACAACGAATGCTCTTGAATGAAGACTTAGTCCATTTCGCTCCGGAACAGTGCACAGTGGAAGGCAGGGTGAGCCCACAGGAACCTGAGTAACTACAGCCGCAGTTCATGGAAGAAATTCCCCCGGACATCCAGGGACAGCCACCTTTGCGGACAGGTCTTGGCTCCCGCTTTAGGGGTTTGAAGTGGAAGTGAAATACTCGAAGTATTCATGCCTTATTTTTTATGATTTTCTTATTTTAGCAAGTGCTTTTCGACCTTGGATGGAAAACCTTTTTGATTTTCTGAGATGCTGAGGGCAGGAGAGATGCCCTGCTAAGAGAAGGCTACTTTCTCAAAGGGGCCATCCCTAGGGTAGGGAACAGTGCAGGGGGCTAGTCAGAAAAAGCCAGAGTCCCCAAGGTGTGGCAGTACCAGAGCTGAGGAGAGACAGGCTTCCAAGGAAGGGCCTCTGCTCCCAGCCCTCTGCCTGCCTGCCTTGCTGCCCAGCCTTGGCCATAGACCTCAGCTGCGTTTCCCTGTACTGTGAACAGGCTCACACAAGCCAGGATAATCTTTGGAACAATCGGGATGCTTTGATTAAACCTCTCCTCCCACCCAGAAGCACCCACAGCTGGAGATGTAAGCTTCTGAGGGTGAGCCCAGGCAGGCCAGCCAGGAGGCAGGGGAGGAGGTGATCAATCAGGCTTGGCTTAGACTGGGAAACCAATCTTGCAGTGTTGTTTGGACTCAGACAAGATCAAGACACATAGGTGTGTACCTCGTTCCACAAAACAAGCCCAATGATGCCCTAGGAACTCCTTAGGCCAGTGGTTCTCAGCCTTCCTAATGCAGCGACCCTTTAATACTCATGCTGCAGTGACACCCGTCCCCCCCATAAAATTATTTCCATTGCTACTTTGTAACTGTAATTTTGCTGCTGTTATGAATCATAATGTAAATATCTGATATATAGGATGCCTGATATGTGACCCTGAAAAAGGATGGTTCAGCTCCCAAAAGGGTCGCAACCCAGAGGTTGAGAACCACTGTCTTAGGCCCATCGTGCTCCTCCATCCCCCGTGTGTCCCCGCACACTCTGCTCCGTGTTCACTGGGCTCATACACTTCTCTCACTAAGCCCAGGGGAAGGAATGACCTTTACTGTTTGCTGAGTCTCGGCCCTGAAGGCAAAGCTTCCTAATCTTTGTCCGGTAGTCCACTCTCCTTCCTGGCCTATTAAGGGCCCATTTAATTCACGCATCTATTTCTTCTCCTGTTTTACATAATGTTACTAGCACTGTGGAAACGCACACTCGCTGCCTTTACAATCTTGTTATTTATTATTATTGTGCATGTGTGTATGATACATGTATGAGAGCAGGCGGGGACCTGCCCCAGCGCACATGTGACGGTCACAGGACAACTTTCAGGAGCTGGTTTTCTCTTTCCACTGGTTGGTTTTTGGGGACAGAACTTGGGTCATTAGGTTTTACCCACTGAGCCGTCTTACCAGCCTAGGCTCTGGCTCATAACCCACACTTAGTGGCCTGGTCCTCCCAGCAGCCTCGTCATAGGGTCCTGAGCTAGGAAAAGGTCAGTGGAATGTGTCCTGTGTACAGCATCCGTGCTGGTTTCTGTTTCATCGCTGTGACCTAACCCGTCAGAAACAGCTCCAGGGACAAAGCTTTGGTTTTGCTCACGGTGTCAAGGATGTTAGTGTGTCACAGGGAAGGCATGGCAGTGTTCACGGAGGCTGGAACTCATGGCGGAGATGCTCATACGATGGTGGACTAGGAGGCAGAGAGAGCCAGCCAGAGCAGATAGAGCCTTCAAAGGCGAACCCCAGTTAGCCCAGTTCTACCACCTAGGCCCCACCCCTACGGCTTCCACAACCCTCTCAAACAGTGCCAATACCATAGGGAATCATTGTTTGAAACAGAAGCCTGTTTTATAATCAAACCACACCACCAAACCCTGCTTTCCTAGTCCATAGTTAGAATAATGCTGTATGCGTCTATTTATTCTTAAAAGTAGATATTTTAGCCGGGCGGCGTGGCGCACGCCTTTAATCCCAGCACTTGGGAGGCAGAGGCAGGCGGATCTCTGTGAGTTCGAGGCCAGCCTGGTCTAGAAGAGCTAATTCCAGGGCAGGAACCAAAAAAAAAAAAAAGCTACAGAGAAACCCTGTCTCGAAAAAAAAAATCAAAAAAATAAAAATAAAGGAGTTATTTTAGTTTTAGTTGTTTTTTTTAAAAAATATATATGCAATCTTTTAGGATTTTTCTTTTACCATTCCTTTGCTAGGATGTGTCCACACTGTTGCGTCTTGCTGGGCCTTTTTGACTGTTGCATACTGTCCCCTTGGCTGGTTCACCGATTAGATAGGCACTGGGTTGCTCCTGTCATCCACAGTACTGTGTCAGCCTTCCCACGTGCTCCTCCCACATATATGGGAACAAGTTTCTCTTGCTATATACCCAGGAGAACGGCTGTTGAGCGATAAGTGGCCAAAGTTGGGATTTGAAGAGAAAATCCCAAACACTGTACAAAGACATTCTCTAAATCAAAAGTAGTTCACGGTTTTCAGCGTTTGTTAAAACCCTACCTGGTTTCACGGGCCTATCATCTCAGCTCCTTGGGGAGGCCGAGGAAGGAAAGAAGACCATTCAAGGTCAGACTGGGCAGTTAATTTTGACTTTCAAAATAAAAAGTAAAGCTGGGCGGTGGTGGCACACGCCTTTAATTCCTGCACTCGAGAGGCAAAGGCAGGTGGATCTCCGTAAATCTGAGGCCAGCTGGGTCTACAAGAGCTAGTTCTAGGACAGGCTTCAAAGCTACAGAGAAACCCTGTCTGGAAAAACCCAAAACATAAATAAATAAATAAATAAATAAATAAATGGTAAAAAGCGCGCTGCAGCTATAGCTCCGCGGTAGAGCGTTTGGTTAGCGCACACAACATCCTGGGTTCAGTCCCGAGTGCCCCAAACAGAAACAACCTTACCTGGATTCTCATCTGACCCTGCTCACACCATCAAGCCCACAGCTTTAACCAATGCAGAGCAGTAAGCCTGGTTCCCAGAGACTCCCGGGGACCTCCACATTCGCCCCGCTCTCACCTGCCCTCTGCTCTACAGCCCAAACAGGTTCAAAGTAAACAGCCTGACTCTGCCCTTCCCCAGACTGTCACTAGGAAAGAGCCCTTAGCGTTAGGTCCAGTGGACGTATGTCCGGTGTTGCCTGGCCCTGCTGCACGCTGTCCTGGGAACCTGGCCATGCTCTCTGGTACTTTCTTCCTGTAAGCCGCACAGAAGGTGATGAGGCACAAGAAGGGGCCTTCCGCCTCCAGGAATAATGCTGTACAAGTCATTCAGTTAGTATGCTCATAATAATCGCAGCCTCTTTCTTACTCACCAGAACCCATTAGAGAGGTCGGATCACTCCGTATGGGAGACCTAGGTGTGCTGGGCTGAGGAGACAAGCTCACTTTGCAACAGACCCTGCCTGGAGCTAAGGCCAGCACAGACATGAGAATGCACATGCCAGTTTGTTTTTGTTTTGAGACAGGGTCTCACTCTGTAGCCCACGCTTCCCAGAACTCATAGCAATTCTCCTGCCTCAGCACTTTGGGTGCTGGGATTACAGCATGCATGAGCCACTGTATCTAACATCAGAGTCATTTAAATAAAAAAGTGTGTGTGTGTGTGTGTGTGTGTGTGTGTGTGTATGTGTGCATATGTGTGTGCTGAGATGTATGTGTATGCCTCTGCATGTCACAGCACTGTATGGCGGTCAGGGGACAACTCTCAGAGTTCCAGGAACAGAACTGAGGTCCTCAG